CTGCCTCAGCCTTCCAAGGAGCTGGAACTACAGGCGTGCGCCACCACGCCCGGCTAATTTCTTACTTATTGTAGAGCAGTTACGTTTTTAAATGGATCAAGGGCATTCTAGTGATAGACTCATTTGAGCCCTACCAAGGGGGAAAGGGAGCCCTTCGTGTTAATTGAAAATGTCACTATCTGAATGGATCTGTGCTGTGCCACATGCCATGGAGGGAAGAGGGCTGCACACAGGCATGGGCAATCTAGAAACTGAAAAAATCTAGGAGAGCCTGAGACATCCTGTGACAGAAATGCCACCACCACCCATTTGCCCTGCCAGACCTTCCTCCGCTCTGGGTAGGTGGCCCTCCAGGAGCATTAGCCAGGGAGCCACCCACAATGCCTTGCCATCCTCATCCACAGAGGGGCCCCCACAAAATCTTCGTATTCATTTGACAAACTCTTCCCCAGGAGCTGCCAATGCCAGCCCCTAAGAGTCACCCTACAGGCCATCTCCACACTCCAGGATGTGAGTCCATATTGTGTTCCAGAAATGAGATAGGGTGAACACAGGGCATAAAGCTGACAAATAGCAAAACTCCAGAATGCACATGCGCACTCATTTTCCCGAGGAATCTAGATTTATTCTACATGAGAACTGAAAATAAAGTGTTCACTCCCCAAGGGTGGCACAGTGGTGCGCGCCCAGCCAGGGCTTGCCCCCAATCCCAGCCAGGCCCACTCAGCCAGGAGGGACCTGAGAGAGGTCCTTACAAGAGCCCTGAAACCGGCATGACAAGTAGCCTATGCTCAAGTCACTCAAAGGGTCCACAGCCATCAGTCATTCTTGCTTCCCCTTGGCGGTGAATTCTCCCTGTTGGCGAAGAAGCCTCTGCTTGCAGGTCCCTTGCATCTATCCGGCAGAACACACATGTGGTGAGTGTTTCTGAAGCAGTGTCACTCTCAGAGACGGAGAAAGGCCTGTCGCATCGTTCGCACTGACATGCAATATTTCAAGAGAGCAGAAAGGAGGTGCTGGTCAGAGGGAATCCAGACATGAGGTTAGACCCCACCTGATCCAACTGCCTTGGCCTGAGCCAAGGCAAGAGCCCCCCGCTGGAGTCTCTGAGCCCACACATGTGGAAATCACAGGCCATAGAGAGAGCAAGCACAGGCCTCTTCTTCCACTCCTCCCCCTAAAAGTGCCAGCTCATGCCCCCTGTTATAGGGTCCTGAGGGCAGAAGTAACAAGCCACTCGGTGGTGGGGAGGATATCCAGCCCCATCCACTGCTCTTTGCAGGGCCGAACGGTGGGACTAAGGGATGCCCTGATGTCCTGAGGGCACCTAACTTTTACATAAGACTCAAGTAGGCACGCTTTCTGAACAGAGCAGGGGTTTTAATGAGATTGCCACGAGTGCTCGGCACCCTCCTCCATTCTGAGCCTGCTTCTGGCCCAAGACTCAGAGAACAATGGATGTGATGGCACAGCTCACCACCCTCTGCTTCCCACTAACAAGCCAGCAGTGCCACAGGATGGGGACTCCCAGGCCACGCAGAGACCCCTCAGGGGTTCCCAGCAGAGCACAGGCCCACAGAGACAGACCTGCGGGGTGGCATGCCCTGCCCCAGCTCTAAGTCCCTATGCTTTGTCCCCTTGCCCGGTCCAGAGCACGCAGGCCTGCTCGAGAGAGAAGGCAAGCCCTCCCAGGGCAGGCTCGGTGAAAGATCTGGCCTCCAAGGCTTCTCATGCCGATTCGGAGCAAGTCAAATGCAACGGGTTCATCTTTGCCACAGCTGCAGGTAGGTCTCTTTCTTTTCCTTCTTTTGCAAAGAAGAAATTGGATCCCTTACCTCTAACAGCTCATTTCTCACGGTCCAACCTCAGAACAACAGGGCTCAGAGGCCGCAGCTCCAGGGCCTGGCTGCCGCGGACGAGGAAGGACAGGAACAATCACTGCTTTGTAGCCAGTCTGCTTTCAGGGCTGGAAGGCCAACAGGGCCACCAAGGCCACGAGGGCCTGCTGGCTCTGCCCTGCGACACTGCTCCCAAATTAGCCATTCCCAGAAGCAGTGGCTCCCAGCTGGACCTTCTGGGAGGAGACAAGTCTAGGTCGCTCCAGGATTCCGAGGCCCCCAAGAGGGCCCAGCATACACTCCTCAGACTCTCTGAGGCAGCAACCAGGTGTGTGCACGGCAGGGACGGGTATCCACTGCCCAGGGGTAGCCTCTGTGGCTAGCCTTGGCTAGGCCCCGTGAGGCCGCAGATGCTCCACCAAGCTCTTGTACTGGAGGAATACAGGCTCCTGAGCCGCTTGTGTGAGGAGCTGGGGGCCCGGCGGGGTCTGCAGCTGGCATGGAAGAGGCCCACACGTGGACCTGCTATGCCTCCACTGACCAGTGCTCCCTCGGGATTCCCCCCTCCAATCCCCCCTCCCCCCACCCCTCAGACACACCAGGCTTGTTCCTGCCTCAGGCTCCACACTGGCTGTTCCTCTCTAGGAAGCTGTTCCCCTAAATATCTGTACGTTCCACCCCCTCGTTACCCTCAAGCTGGCACAAATGTTACCTTTTCGAGTTGGAGACTCACTCTGTGGCTCAGGCTGGGGTGCAGTGGCACACTCACAGCCACCCCAGCATCGACCTGCTGGGCTCCGGCGATCCTTCCTTCTCAGCCTTCCAAGTAGCCAGAACTATAGGCATTTGGAAGGTTAATTTTTTATTTATTGTAGAGATGAGGTCTTGCCAAGTTGCCCGGGCTCATCTCGAACCCGCGGGCTCAGGCAATTCGCTTGCCTCAGCCTCCCAAAGTGCTGGGATTACAGGCTGAGCCACCAAGCCCAGCAGATGTTACCTTCTCAATGAGACCTATCTTGACTACCCTTTAAAATATTGTAACTGAGCCGGGCTCGGTGGCTCAGCCTGTAACCCCGCGCCTTTGGGAGGTTGAGGTGAGTGGATTGCCTGAGCCCACAGGTTCGAGTCCCGCCTGGGCAGGTGAGACCTCATTTCTACGATAAAACAAAAAACTAGCTGGGCATGGTAGCGCGCGCCGGTAGTTCCAGCTACTCAGAAGGCTGAGCAGAAGGATCGCCGGAGCCCAGCAGGTCGAGGCTGCGGGGGCCGGGAGCGGCCACTGCACTCCAGTCTGGGTGACAGAGTGAGACTCCGACTCAAAAAAAAAAATTGTAACTGGCCGGGAGTGGTGACTCACGCCTGTAATCTTAGCATTTTTCAAGGCCAAGGTGAGAGGATTGCTTGAGCCCAGGGATTCAAGATCAGCCTGGGCAACTTAGCAAGACCTCGTCTTTGCAATAAATAAAATTAGCCAGGTGGTGGTGCACACCTGTACTTCCATCTGTTGGAAGGCTGAGGAGAAAGGACCACCTGAGCCCAGCAGGCCAAGGCTGCAGTGGCCATGAGCATGCCACTGCACTCCAGCCTGGGTGACAGAGTGAGACCCATTCAAAATAAATAAATAAATTAGCAGGGCATGATGGCGCACACCTGTAGCCCCAGCTACCAGAGAGGCTGAGGTAGAAGGATTGCCTGAGCTCAGGAGGTCAAGGCTGCAGCGAGCCGTGATCATGCCACCGCACTCCAGCCAGGGTGACAGAATGAGACCCTGACTCAATAAATAAATAAATAAATAAACAGCCCTCTCATTCCCCTTTCTTGTGTGTCTTTCTCCAAAGTACTTATCACTATGTGACTTACTACATATTTTTCTTGTATCTTTCCTCTTTTAGAATTTAAACTACCCAGGGCATAAGTTTCATACTGTTTGTTTACAGTCGTATCCTCAGTAACCCAATAAATGTTTGTTTAAAGAATAAACTACTTGATAGAGAAAATTAAGGAAAGCCTTCATTGGGCTGTAATCTTACCCGATACCAACCTGTTTCAACGTTAAGCCCATGGCCTTTTTGTACTTGATTACCAAAGGAATTTGGTCAATTTCTTCAATATTCCATAGCCTCATGGTCCTGTCCTAAAACAAGTTAAACAGCAAACCAGCTGTCACGCAATAGACTGCAGTACGTCCATACAATCAAATCTCATCCAACGGTCAAAAGAAATGAGCTTTCTTTTTAAGCCACAAAAAGACATGGAGGAGCCTTCCATGCATGTTGTTAAGCAAAAGACACCAATATGAAAAGGCTGCATATTCCAACCATATGACACAGTGCAAAAGTAAAACTACAGCGACAGTAAAGACTGGCCAGGCACAGCAGCTCACCCCTGCAATCTCAGCACTTTGGGAGGCTGAAGCAGGAGGATTGCTTGAGCCCAGGAGTTCAAGACCAGTCCAAGCAACATGGTGAGACCTCGACAAAAAGTAATTAGCAGGGCATGGTGGCATGCACCGGTATTCCCAGCTACTCAGGAGGCCGAGGAGGGAGGGATCACTTGAGTTCAGGAGCTGGAGGCTGCGGTGAGTTATGATTGTGCCATTGCCCTCCGGTCTAGACAGGAGAGTGAGACCCCAATTCAAAAGAAGCCAAAATGAAAAAACTACAGACTATTATTCCAACTATAGGAAAGTCTGGAAAAAGCAAAACTACACAGATGGTAAAGAGGTTAGTGGTTGCCAAGGATTCCGGGGAGTAGGGAGAGAGAGGTGAACAGGTAAAGCACAGGGGATTTTTAGGGCAGTACAACTATTATGTATAACACTGTGTTGGTGGATATCAGACATGCATTTGGCAAAACGCATACATGTTGTACATGTGTACAACACATCACTCATAAGCAGACCCTGAACATTTATCCTGATACTATAAGAAAGGGATTGGTAGGAGCAGGACACTGCCAGGAGGGGTGGAGGGGCACATAACATCAATAAGGGTATCTGATCTCAAACCAGGCCAAGTGGGTACCAAAGGGAGGCCCAAACTTCACCTGTATGATGACCGCTTGTCTACCTAGTCCTAAATTGTACCCCACATCTTTTAAATAAATAAATAAAATTACTTTAAAATAGGGGGGCAAAAAAACAATATAACACAAAGAGTGACACAATGTCAATGATACACTTTTGTTAATAATGATTCCAGAAGGGAACACAGTACCGCTGACACCTTGGTTTTAGCCTGGTGAGACCCTACCAGACTTCTATCCTTCAGAATTGTGAGATCGTTTGTGTTAATGTTTAGACAGTGCAGCCTGTGGTAATTTATCACAGCAGCAATAGAAAACTGATATACTGAGTAATGTTACATTTCCTGATTCAGCAGTTGCAACTAAATGTCCTGTGAGGGACATTTGGTAACAAATGTGCTGGCCCCTTGCAGTGTAGAGCTGTCAGATTTTACCAGCAGTCATACTGCCTGCACTATATCAAGTAGTTTGTCAATCATGGCAACAAAAAATGTCCCCCAGCTCTTAGATGCTTTAATTTGAAAGTTGGAGTTTCAGATCTTCTGGATTTCTATGACGATTTTAATGAAACTGCAGAAAACATAAAGCAAAGCATGTTGAGATTTATCTGAATATAAACTATACTTTGCTCATTTATCTGCATATTCAGCAAAGTGCAAATGTAAATTTTAGGCAATTCCATTCACTCTATATACTTCTTACCAAATTAAATGGCTTGACGCTTTGTACACAAGAGTCCTAGAATACAAGTATGACTCGCTCGCCTGTGATGCTGAGTCTTTCATAATAAAAATTTTCATCTACTCTTCACCTTCCTCAAAATGTACAGAAGCACTTGCGGTTTTTGATTATAGAAACAGAAGGAGAAACCTTCCTTAAACATATGCCTACAAGATGGCTATTATTATTTCTGGTCATAGGAAAAGATGTTAAAATACTGGCCTGCCATAAAAATCATATTATTAAAGCATGGCCCCTTGCAGTGCAGAGCTGTCACACTTTTCCAACAGTCATACTGTCTACAGTATATCAAGTAGACTGTCAATCACAACAACAAAAAATATTCCCCAGCTCTTAGATGCTTTGATTTGAAAGTTAGAGTTTCAAATCTTCTGGATTTCTACGAAGATTTTAATGAAACTGCATGTAGCTGGGAACAGTGGCTCGCACCTGTAATCCCAGCATTTTAGGAGGCTGAGGTGAGAAGATTTGAGCCCAGGGGCTCGAGACCAGCCTGGGCAACTTGGTGAGACCTCTTCTCTACAATAAATCAAAAAACGAGCCAGGCATGGCGCCGTGTGCCTGTGGTTCCAGTTACTTGGAAAGCTGAGGCCAAAGGATCGCCTGAGCCCAGCAGGTTAAGGCTGCAGTGGCCATGAGTATGCCACTGCATCACTCCAGCCTGGGCGACAGAGTGAGACTCCAACTCAAAAAAAAAAAAAGAAGAAAAATGTATCCTACTTTTAGATTACATCAAGGATGAGAATAAAGAAAAGGGTTACAAAACACAGAAATGTATATACTATTTGATGATCTTTGAAGAGCCCATGAGTCAAAAAAAAAAACAAAATGGTGATGTGATTGCACCTGAGTTGTTCCATGTTAGATGTAAGTTGTGACAAAAACACATAATGAAAAATTATTCATTTTTAGGAAATAAGACTTCTTCCATTCTAAAAAAAAAGAGAAGAGAAAAGAAAAGAAAATAGATACCAGAAAAGGGCAATCAATTTAAACAAGGCATTCTCAATTTCCTTTACTCAAACTGTTAACTATTTGGGGGCCGGGCACAGTGGCTCACGCCTGTAATCCCAGCACCTTGTGAAGCCAAGGTGAGAGGATTCCCTTGAGCCCAAGAGTTGAGACCAGCTTGGGCAACATAGCAAGACCCCATAACTTAAAAAAAAAACAAAACTGTTAACTATTTGGAATCCAATTTCAGCATTACAAGTTCATATGGCCTGTGTGATTCGATGCCTTTCTCCCTAGGAAAAAAAAAAGTTAACTTACGGTGACATTCAATGTGCTTTGGAATGTTAAAAAAGAAAGGACTAGATATATATAGCCCATATCATAAATTTACAGTGGCAGAGGACCTGACAGACAAATATCTGAGCTATCAAAATCAGGCTTATAGACTGAGTACGTTTGGACATTTCTGGAGAGCTGGAAACTATCCACTGCTCTTTTATAGTGTATTCAATAAACCTGTTTTTCCTACTCTAAAAAAATAAGATAAGACATAAGAACCTGTTGTTGCTAGTAAGTAAAATCTTAATTGTTTCATGCTCAAACGTGTTTGTTTAGCTTGATGTTATCACATTGAGCTGACACCAGGAATCAGGATAGTGTGGCCTTGATAAGAGCAGAGCTGCAAGTCAAGGTGAATTATACATTTGGCATTGTTCTGTTTTACCACTATCTAAAAGAAAAGAAGCAGCCGGGTGTGGTGGCATGGGGAAGGATCAAGGCTGTGGTGACTGTGAGCATGTGTGACAGAGTGAGATTCCTACTAAAATAATAAAATAAAATAAAATATAAAATATCCCAGCCGGGCCCGGTGGCTCAGCCTGTAATCCCGTGCTTTGGGAGGCTGAGGTGAGTGGACTGCCTGAGCCCGCGGGTTTGAGACCCGCCTGGGCAACTTGGCGAGACCTCATCTCTACAATAAATCAAAATGAGCCGGGCATGGTAGCGCACGCCTGTAGTTCCAGCTACTGGGAAGGCTGAGGCGGAAGGATCGCCGGAGCACAGCAGGTCGAGGCTGCAGGCAGTTTAGACAAGTATTATTTGAAAAGGAAACAGAAAGGTAAAAATATCCCACTGTATTATAGGACAAAAGAAGCATGTCATTGTTGACTTTTTTATTGTAATAAAATATATGTATAACATATTTTATCCTTCTAACCATTTGTAAGTGTATAATTCAGTAAATTCAGTAATAGTAAACACATTCGGGGTCCTTTATTTTTTGAGAGATGGCGTCTTGCTCTGTCACCCTGGGTGAAGTGCAGAATCATAGCTCATTGTAGCCTCAACCCTCCTGGGTTCAAGCAGTCCTCCTGTCTCAGTCTCCCAAGCAGCTGGGACGGCAGGTATGCTCCATCACACCCAGGTAAATAGTCACGATTTGTGTCACCATCACCACTACCTAAACCCAAAACTTTTTCATCATCTTTAACAAAGATCCCCATTTCTCCCAGCCCCTAGCAATCTCCACTCTACCTTTTGTCTCCATGGAGCTGACTGTTCTAGATACCTCCTGTAAGTGGAATCACACAGTATCTGTCCTTTTGTGACTGGCTTATTTCACCTAGTATCATGTCCTCAGGATTCACCTATGTTGTAGCATGTGTCAGACTGGCCTCCTTCTTATGGCTGAATAATAGTCCATTGATGAATATATCACATTTTATTTATTTATTCATCTGTCAGTGAACTCTTGGGTTACTTCGGCCTTTTGACTATTGTGAATAATGCTGTTATGAACATCAGTGTACAAATATCTGCTCAAGTTCCTGCTTTCAGTTCTTCTGGGTATATACCCAAAAGTGAAATTGCTGGGTCATATTGTAGTTCTATGTTTCACTTTTTGAGAAACTGCCAAACTGTTTTCCACAACAGCTGTACTATTTTACAGTTCCATCTGCAGCCCACCAGCATTCCAATTTCTCCACATCTTGGCCAATGCTCATTATAGTGGATATAGTTTGGTTATTTGTCCCCTCCGAATCTCATGCTGAAATGTGATCTCCAGTGTTGGAGGTGGAGCTTAGAGGGAGGCATTTGGGTCAGGGAGGTGGAGCCCTCACAAACGGCTTGGTGGTGACATCCTTGCAGTAATGAGTGAGCTCTCACTCTATCGGTTTGCACAACGAATGATCGCTAAAAAGAGCCTAGTCCCTTCTCCCCTTTCTCTTTCCCTCTCTCGCACCATGTGATGTCCTGCTCCCTTTCGCCTTCTGCCATGAGTGGAAGCTCCTTGAAGCCGTCGCCAGAAGCAGATGCTGGTGCCATGCTTCCTGTACAGTCTGTGGGAACATGAGTCAATTAAACCCCTTTTCTTTATAAATGACTCAGCCTCAGGTATTCCTTTATAGGAATGCAAAATGGACTAAGATACTGACCTTCCTCATAAGTGTGAAATGGTATCTCACTGTGTTTTGGATTTGCATTCCCCTAATGACTAATGATGTTGAGCATTTTTCATATGCTTATTGGTCATTTGTGTATCTTCTTTAGAGAAATGTCTATTCAAGTCCTTTGTCAGTTTTTGAGTTGGGCTGTTGGTTTTGTTGTTGTTGAATTTTAGAAGTTATTTTTATTTTCTGGATATTAATTCCCTATCAGATAAGTGATTTGCAAATATTTCTCCCATTCTGTAAATTGTCTTTTCATATTCTTGATAGTATCCTTTGGTGCACAAGTTCTTAATTTTTATGAAGTTCAGCTTGTTTATTTTTTATTTCCTGTGCTTCTGTTGTAATATCCAGGGCATCATTGCCAAATCCGATATTATGAAGATTTTCTCCAACATTTTCTTCTAAGAGTTTTATAGTATTAGCTCCAAGTTTAGGTCTTTGGCCTATTTTGAGCTAATTTTTGGATATGGTATGAGGTACGCTTGCAGTTTCTTTTTTTCTTTTCTTTCTTTCTTTCTTTTCTTTTTGCATGTGGTTATCCAGTTTTCATGTACCATTTGTTGAAAATATTCTTCTTTCCTTAATGAATGGTCTTGGTGCCCTTGTCAAAAATCAGTTGACCATACTTCTGGGCTTTCTATTTGAGTCCATCAGTCTATATGTCTGTCTGTCCCTATGCTGATACTATACTGTTTTAATTACTGTAGACTTTTAAGTTTTAAAGTTGAGAAATGTGAGTTCTCTACCTTGATTCTTCTTCATTTTCTGGTTTTGGCTATTCGGTGGGCCCTTGCAATGCTATATGCAAAGGCTGTTAGAATTTTTTTTTTTTTTTTTTTGAGTTGGAGTCTCACTCTGTTGCCCAGACTGGAGTGCAGTGGCCATTCCTGGCCACCACAGCCTCGACCTGCTGGGCTCCGGCGATCCTTCTGCCTCAGCCTTCCAAGTAGCCGGAATTACAGGCGCACGCTACCACGCCCGGCTAATTTTTGATTTATTGTAGAGATGAGGTCTCGCCAAGTTGCCCAGGCGGGTCTCGAACCCGCAGGCTCAGGCAATCCACTCACCTCGGCCTCCCAAAGTGCTGGGATTACAGGCTGAGCCACCGAGCCCGGCCAGCTGTTAGAATTTTAATAGGGATGGTGTTGAACCTGTAGATTACTTTGGGTAGTATTGACATTTTAACAATATTAAGTCTTCCTATCCATGAACATGGGGTGTCTTTCCATTTATTTAGGTCTTCTTTAATTTCTTTCAGCAATGTTTTATAGTTTTCAGTGTACAAGTCTTTTACCACCTTGTTTAGATTTTTTTCTAAGAATTATTTTAAGGCCAGGCACAATGACTCATGCCTGTAATCCCAGCACTTTGGGAGGCTCAGGTGGGAGGATCACTTGAAGCCAGGGGTTCAAGATCAGCTTGGGCAACATAGCAAGACTTCGTCTCTACAAAATATTTTTTAAATTAAAAAAAAAAGAATTCTTTTAGATGCAGTGGCATCTAAAAATCCTTTTAGATTGTTCATTACTGGTGAATAAAAAGACAACTGATTAGGTTGGGTGTGGGGACTCAAGTCTGTAATCCCAGTACTATGGGAGGCTGAGGCGAGAAGATTACCTGAGTCCAGGGGTTCAAGACCAGCCTGGGCAACTTGGAGAGACCTCGTCTCTACAACAAATCAAAAAATTAGCTGGGTGTGGTGGTGTGTGCCTGTAGTTCCAGCTACTTGGAATGCTGAGGCTAAAGGATCGCCTGAGCCCAGCAGGTCGAGGTCATGGTTGCTGTGTACGTGCCACTGTACTCCAGCCTGGACAACAATGAGACTCTGACTCAAAAACAAAACAAAACAAAAAAACCCACAACTGATTTGTGTGTGTTGATTTTGTACCCTGAAACTTTGCTGAATTCATTTATTAGTTCTAATAACTTTCCTGTGAATTCTTTGGCCTTTCCTTTATATACAATCATGCCATTTGTGAATAGACATGGTTTTACCTCTTCCTATCCAATTCCTATCTTTTGTTTCTTTTTCTTGTCTAGAACCTCTGGTTAGTATCTCCAGTACAATATCGATCCTGAGCTTAGAAAAAAAGTTTTTTATTTTTCACCATTGAGAATGAGGTTAGCTATGAGTTTTTCATAAATGCTATTTATCATATTGAGGACTTTTCCCTTTATCCCTAGCTTTCTGGGAGGTTTTTGTTTGTTTGTTTTTTAATGAAAGGGCTTGAGATTTTTCCAGATGCCTTTTCTGTGTCAGTTGAGATGATCACATAGAGTTTTTTTTTCCTTTTTTCTAATAAAGTGACATATTACATCAATTGATCGATTTTATGTTGAACCACCTGGTATTCCTAGGATATCTTCCCCTTGATATGGCAAATAATCTTTTCAAGGCGCTGTTGGATTCTATTTGCTAATTTTTTTGAGGATACTTGGATTTATATTCATAAGGGATAATGGTCTATAATTTTTTTCTCATGATGTCTTTATCTGGTTTTGGTAACTAAGTAATGCTGGCCTCATAGAATGAGGTCATTGCTTTGTATTAAATATAAGCAATATCTGTTTAACCAGTCCTGTTGTATTTATGTTCTCTTTTTAAAATAGTTTTACATCTATTTATTCTTAAGAATACACAATAATATATCCTACAAAATTTATATATCCAATAGTTTTTTTGTATGCTTTTTTTGGTTTTTTTAGAGAAATCGTTTAGTTCCCATAGCAAGGGTCTTTCACCCAGGCTGGAGTGCAACAGCACCATCACAGCTCCCCACAGCTTTGAACTCCTGGGCTGAAGGGATCTACCTTCCTTAACCTCCCAAGCAGCTAGGACTGTAGGCACACGCCACCCCGCCTAATTAATTTTTTTATTTTTTGTTGAGTCAGAGTCTCACTTTATTGTCCAAGCTGGTCTCAAACTCCCGGGCTCAAGGGATCCTCCTGCCTTGGGCTCCCTAAGTGCTAGGGTTACAGGTGTGAGCCACTGTGCCCAGTCTTGTGTTACTACTTTAATATAAAAATGAGTGTTTACTTGAAATCATACATTATTCTGTATGTTTACTTTTCTGTTACATGAGTATGATTATTTAAGCAAAACAACCAACAGGACTAGTTAATAGTGGAAATGAGCAGTAATTAACAATAGGGCTGATTACACATGGCATGGTCTGACATAGATTGGGAGTGAAACAGGACCCCTTTTCTCTAATGCTCATATCAGCAGGACAGCCCATGGGATATCCTAGGCTAGCTGTCATATGCTATCGGAATGAGAATCCCAAGATGCAGTGATGGAAGGAGGGGAAACCTACCTGGGACCTCGGGTGGTCTCTGCCGCTTCTCAATGAACTGATGCCTTCCTTCCAAGGCCCCAGTTGGCTCCGTCACTTACCCATCTGGCCAGACTCTTTCTCGAGCAAAGCGCAGGAGTCAATAGTGACACAGAAATAGCTGGCAACTCCCCACATTTGCAGATGGCAGGACTTGCTTTCCACATCCCAGGCAGCTCCCTGAGTGGGGCGGGCCTGGCCAGGTGTAGACCCCTGACTGAGCCTGCCCGGGAGTTTTATACGTGGCAATAACACTTTTGGTATCACCAATTCTGGCAAATACAATAGACATTGTAAGTCTTAAAGCTCAAAGCCTTGACCACTCTTACCTTTGAAGCAGACAGGATCCATTTCTTGTTGTTGCTAACAGCAACATCCATCACCCAGTCATTATGGCCCTGAAAAAAAAATAACATTTAAAAAAGAATCTAGAGAAAATGCCTTTTTAAGAACAAAAATAGGCCGGGCTCGGTGGCTCAGCCTTGTAATCCAAGCACTTTGGGAGGCCGAGGTGAGTGAATTGCCTGAGCTCGCGGGTTCAAGACCTGCCTGGGCAACTTGGCGAGACCTCATCTCTACAACAACAAAAAAAATGAGCCGGGCGTGGTAGCGCGCGCCTGTAGTTCCAGCTCCTTGGAAGGCTG